GTGTTTACGGTGTTAATAACCAAACAAGTTAACTAATTGATTGAGTGATTGATTATCTGTCTGCATAACATAGCTACCAACTGAACAGCACAAAATGTTGACAGTATTCAGTGCTACCAATTGAAGGTTTAAAATGTTTTGATTTCAACAATGCATCACCTAGCTACCAACTGCATAACACGAAATGTCCAAGTTTTATAGTAGGCCAGTCAAATCGGACAATAAAATCGCAAAGCGTGATGTATTGGTGCATTTTTAATATGTTGTTGGGACCAGTTAGGGTAACTCAAAACCAAGTTTGCAGCTTCGAGATCCCTGTGCTCCCTGCGTAATAAGTAAAATATTAAAAAATTAATGTAATTTTTTTAGTTTTTGGTCTATAACTTATTAATAGTACATTTTTTATAATACTACTCAAATGTAACAATTAAAGTACATAACATTTCCAACAATTTAAGCATAGTTCCATTTTTGAGTGTCAAATAGTTTTTAAGCAATGATTTTTTAAACATTACAATTTTTTTAAAGTAATTACCATAATTTACATTTTTCCTGGGTTGGACCCACACAAATTGGGTAATACCCATATTATGGCAGAACTCTTAAAAACTGCTTTTGTGGTAAATTTTTTTGGCTTTTGTTTTATCACAAAGCCAAGTCTGTACCTTCAACACTTTTCTGAAAACTATACAAATAATAATTTATTAATATCACGATTTTTTTATTTAATGAGTTGAAATAATGTCCCCCAACCATTAGGTGTTAAAACGAAATGAGGAAAAACATATTTAAGGTTATATTTTAAGATAAATTATGACAAAACATTCTATAGTTAGTATTTTGGCTTTTTGGACACTGAAGGCAAGGTATTAGAAATGTTTCCTGATTCAAACTCATCGGGTAAAGACATATTATCGTCAGGGTCATCTTCATCCTCTTCAATATAGTAGACTCCCCCTTATCCGCACACGTTTTAACCGGACATCAGTTTAACCGGACTTCACTCGGCGGAAATGACATCTATTTTATCCCCACCATAAAAAATGATCAAATATATCGGTCTCGGCACTAAGCCTTACCGTACCACCTATGGTAATAGCAACTTCCTATCAGTAAGTAAAAAAGAAGAATATATGTTTTTTAGGGTTTTATTTATATTAGACTTGTTTTCTTTATGTTAAGTTTTAGATATAGTTTTTGACGCCATATCAACTGATTGCTGATGTACTTTTTCCCGCAGCATCTTTTCCGAGTGCCTGAAAGACGATCTCCTTTTGTTGTGTCAACCTTGTTCACTGGTTAAAAGGACAAGGACGTCACTTGCAGGATTTTGATTAATACAAATGGAAAAATGACTTTGTTAAGTTAAAATGGCAAAAGATAAGCTGCATTTTTGATCTGATATTTATGTATATATATATAGGGTGAATATTGTTGATTTTGTACTGTATTGAAATCGGTCCCGGGCCCAGGTCTTACCATGAGTACTACGGTAATAGCTTATTCCCTATATCGAAAATTCGCTAAAACCTTATAATTTTGTTTATTTAGATGTCGAAAAAATATCATTATTTATACACAGCCGAGACTGACTTATACTTTTGACATGTAAATGTGTGTGTATGTCCATCAGCACATTAAATAGAGTAAAATAGAGTATGATCGTACTAAAGGGAACAGGTTTTATGGGATTAAAATAGGTTTCCCCATTCTCACCCTAAAAATTCCTCCTAGGAAGCTGGAGAAAAGTGCCTAATTGCTTTGTATGGTGGCAACACATACCACGATGAATTATAAAACCTTCGATTCCGCCTGTTTGTAAAGGCAGCAGCCAGCGCTAAGGTAAACTTATAACGCTTGCCCACCACCTAAGATGCAGCTTCCTTCCACTCATTTCGAGCATACCACCAAGTGCAAAAATGGTTAGGGATTGAAAAGGATCCCACAGAGTGGGGTTGGTCAAATAGCACAGCAGGATTGGTTCCAGTGACAACCTCATGCAGTCAAGCTCCATCCAACCTTCTGAAACTAATTTCATGTAGGTGCAAAAAGGGATGCACGAGTGCTTGCACATGTCGGAAGGCCGGGCTAAGAGGCGTTTACCATTACGTACTACTTGCTCTGCTAAGAATTGCCAAAATGTCACATTACCATTTACAGTATTGAAGAGGATGAAGATGATCCTGACGATAATATGTCTTTACCCGATGAGTTTGAATCAGGAAACATTTCTAATACCTTGCCTTCAGTGTCCAAAAAGCCAAAATACTAACTATAGAATGTTTTGTCATAATTTATCTTAAAATATAACCTTAAATATGTTTTTCCTCATTTCGTTTTAACACCTAATGGTTGGGGGACATTATTTCAACTCATTAAATAAAAAAATCGTGATATTAATAAATTATTATTTGTATAGTTTTCAGAAAAGTGTTGAAGGTACAGACTTGGCTTTGTGATAAAACAAAAGCCAAAAAAATTTACCACAAAAGCAGTTTTTAAGAGTTCTGCCATAATATGGGTATTACCCAATTTGTGTGGGTCCAACCCAGGAAAAATATAAATTATGGTAATTACTTTAAAAAATTTGTAATATTTAAAAAATCATTGCTCAAAAACTATTCGACACTCAAAAATGAAACCATGCTTAAATTTTTGGAAATTTTATGTACTTTAATTGTTACATTTGAGTAGTATTATAACAAATGCACTATTAATAAGTTATAGACCAAAAACTAAAAAAAAATACATAAATTTTTTAATATTTTACTTATTACGCAGGGAGCACAGGGATCTCGAAGCTGCAAACTTGGTTTTGAGTTACCTTAACTGGTCCCAACAACATATTAAAAATGCAGCAATACATCACGCTTTGCGATTTTAGCCTCTTTTTATGTACCATTTGACTGGCCTATAGTACTATAATATGTTGAGAATTCGAAGTACCTCCAAAATATAAAATAAAGACATCAATTGTGTTTATGCAAGTTTTGGATCACGCCAAATTAATTAAACTAATTTATAAAACTGCAGCTGTTACTGTATTGGTATTAGTATTATAATTTGGGATATTTGTCACTTAAATCCAGTTTGTAAATAGTCAACGAATAAAAACAATATTTATCTCCATAAAAATTTATCATTATTATCTTAATTTGCTTTGCCATAACATTTTTATTTAGCCTATTTAGTCTAAGTAGGTCCTATCTTTGACTATTAATAAGAACGACAATGGAATACTGTTAACGGACGAACCGGTAATTGGTATGCATACTACTGTGAAAACTGGATTTCCAAGTGAATAATCTTTGATGCTAAAAATATTGTACTTTTACGGTCTTTCTTAAGATTATTGTAGCTTTCAACACTTTTTTTTATATAAACTGAATAACATCATAGTAATAAAATTTGCTTACGAATCTTATATTAGCTCATTAAAGACCTAACTCGTAAAAAAATCGATTAATCTCGAAATTTGAAAGATTAATTTTTAGAATCTTCTTTAAACAAAGCAGAACGATTTAAAATAATATTAATGGGGAAAGGGAAATGTTTAGTGGTAAATTGCAAAGCATCATTTTACCAATTTTTGTAGGATCTAATTTTGAATGCATTGAGGAATGTTATATTGTACTGTAGATGTTTAGAATATGTTTTGAAATATGTAGATAAATACAATATATCTTTTCTTCCTCTATGCAAAGGAAACACTTTTCAATACTCCTCATGGTAACGTAAGACTACCTTTAGACATAATCCTGAGTCTAATCAAGACCAAGGCAAGCCAAGTTTGAAAACAGGTTTTTAAAACAAACAGCTTGTATCCAAAACCCATTTAAAATTGTAGTAAATAATAACCAATAGGGTGAATGATTCCTTTGGTTTGTTGCTAAAAGAAAAATGGTAATGTTTTTGGTTAAATTTTTAAAACACAATTGTCATTTAAGAATCTTGCCAAGTTTTACGAAGAATAAAAAAAAGCAACGTGCTTCAATTAGTTTGTTACATTAAGGGTACCTATAAAACATGGTAGACGACGTAATAAATGTACTGTACGATTCATTCCTAGGTGCTGAATTTAACACTTTTAATTTGATATAAGTAGGCTACTCTCAATTTTTTTAATATAATATGAAAGTAGGATGAGTTTGTAAGAGGTTAAGATGTAGCTTTGAATCTGACTATAATCAGCTGTTTATGTGATTTAGCCAGCTGGTCCAATTTTCCAGCTGAACCACCAAAAAGCTTCTGAAATTGCTCAGGACCAAACCACCGACTTTCTAACTTTTATTATAATTATTTTTGCCAATTGAGACGGGGACGCCACCTTTGTGCGTATTTTAACCCAAATATAACTGAAAAATTCGTGTAGAATGAAGTGAGATGATCTTTGTACCTTTGTTACTGACTAAGATCAGCTGTTTCATAGTCAGAATCATTTATTTAAAGCCCAATGATCAGGGACAGCTGGGTCCAGTTTCTTACCTTCAAAAAGCTACTGACTTTACTCAAGATCAAATTACCAGACCACCAGACGAACACTAAATAATATACTTAGATATTATTAATGAAAATCGTTCGTCATTTAGAGCAGGAATCGATGGTCAAATAGTAGTCCTGAGTTGAATAAAATCTTTTTAGAGCAGTTAATATTTTAGTAATTATTTGAGAATCAACATTTGTGCCTTGTTAGCCAAATTCATGAACGTAAATACAGCATACTACGCATAGAACTGGTTATGCAACGATTAAATCTTTGCCTCTTTTCAACAATAGTTTAATCCATAAATAATGCAGTATAACTTACTGTTAAACGTTAAATATTCTGTTTGATTAAAAACTTTAAAATAACGCACTGTCTTGGATTTCAAATGTATCCCCTGATTTCCAGTGTTATCTTAATATACTAATGATGTTTCAAAATTAAAGCACTCCTAACAAATAAAAATCAAACCTGACTAAATATTTCCTCAAAGGATAAGGGGCTAAGAAACAAGTCATTTGAATTTTAAAAATCAACTATATTGAAATTTCATCTTGCAAAGTGTAGATTACACTATAAACACATTCGTAATTTAGATATTTTTTACGAAACTAAATCATTCATTTTCTAGATACAAAATGTTACTTATTTAAGCACCTGATTCTAGCGTTGCGCTAGGAGATCGAACAAAACAAAGAGAACTTAACACAACATAATGACTAATCAATAATATGTACACTTTAACGTTAAAATAAGGTGAAAGTTTGGTAGCTTTATTAACCTAAGAAAACATAATGACAATAACTTAATCTCTTTGGTAACATTTGAAGCACTCGATGCTCATTGGAGGTTTGTTCGTTTTGTTTTTATAATTTAAGTTACAAAAGTTTGTGTCCAAGTTCTTTTTTGTGATAGTAAGTTTATTTATTTGAGAGATTAATTTGGACGTATTTAAATCGCAAAATTACGAGGTTTTTCACGGCGTTTCTGGATCGGGAATCTAAAGCCGTCCTCAAGAAGTAACTACATGTAAAACATAGCAATATTGTAGGTCTATACAAAGGCTACATAACTAGCAAGTGTGTATTCAATACCACCTGATGATAGCATCAGATTCCAGATGATGAAAATTTGTGAAATCAGGCTATTTTATAAATTGTAAACAATAAATCCTCAGATAAAACTTAGTTATGCTCTGAATAGTTTGAATTTTTAATTATTAATATAAAAAAGGTATGTAATTACGTTAATTGTATCAAATCACTCTTGCTTTGGCTTTCAATTTAAAATTAATAGCTACGGTAGGATTAAATTTATATCACATAAACCAGTGGTTACCTCTATGAAATTAGCATATAAGTTAGGATCAATAAGTGAAATGTATATATTTTGAAAACAAAAACAAGCAAACATGCCTCCAATGGTCAGGGTTGGACTACAAAATATAAAATAAAAAACGTAGGTCTAATAGGGTACTACAGTAATTTAAAAACCAGTAAGTTTTAAAGGGCTGTCATTAAATACTTACAGAAGAGAAGTCAAACAACACAATACTAAAAGTAAATTAAACAAAACATTCTTGTCGACTGTATTTAGATCTACGAGCATAAAGGGAAATTAAAATCAGATTTTTTTGCAAATAAAGAGAAATCTTTTGGTGAAGTCGCACATCTTTGCGTTAGGCCTAGAAAAATAGAAACTATAAATTTAAATTGATGTCTACTTCTTTCGTTTATTCAATAAAGTGATGATTGTGCTAAAAGTAAAAAGCTATTAAACGTTAACCACAAATATCAGATTTGATGTACTTTAACCTGAAAGTGTTAAAGAGTAAACAAATTTAAATGTTAAGTCCTTGTATTGCTCTAAAACCTTGAACTAGTTTGTCTCTAAGCTGTAACCCTGTCTCTCGTATGTTAAAGAGCAACACCTACTTTAATAGATGATCAAAACAAGAATAGACCTTCACAAGGTCAATATTTCAAAAATAAACAAGGCCAAACCAACACAATCTTTATCCTCAACAAATAAAAAGTTCAGTCGATAAACTTACGTACAAAATTCAGCTTACCAAACTTCCACCGGGAATGTCACAAACACTTAACAGAATAATAACGAGACGACTTGACGAAACCTGTACAAAGTTGAGCGATAACGAAGGAAAGGAACGGACAGTTTATCACAATATGTTGGTCATCTGCAGATCTGGCGAGTGTCGGACTTCTGCCACAGGCCGAGGTTGAGCACAGCGAGCTGGGGAAGTCTCATGACGTTCTGTATACTAGCCGTGGTGATCTTGGTGCATCCGTAGAGGTCGATGGACTTAAGATGTTTCAAAGACTCCGCGACGGCGAACAACCCTTTGTCCGTGATATTGTCACACTGTCCGATATGCAGAGTGTCCAAATCGTGCAGCGTTTTAGATATCCTGAGCAGTCCGTCGTCTGTAATCTGACAAGCACTCAAACTCAAAGACCTGAGGTTGAACAGCCCTTGCGAAATATGTATGAGAGCTTGATCCCCTATTTTGTCACAGAAGGACACGTCGAGACTGGATATCCTACTGCCACCTTCGGCGAGATACGCCATGCCGATGTCCGACACGTTGTCGCACGACCGTAAATTCAGTTCCTTGAGGGACGCCATTTTGGCCAGGTACTTGAGTCCACTATCGGTTATGCTGACGCAGAAACTTAAATTAATACTTTTCAGTCCGGTTAGGCCTGCCGACACGTGTTTCAAAGCTTCGTCCGACAGACGTTGACAGTCTTGTAGTCCGAGGTATTCCAGTTGTAGGTTTCCCTCGGCGTTCTCCTTGTTGAGCCCCGCGATGTGAGCGATCCCTTGGTCCGAGATGTGCCAGCAGGAGCGCAGGTTTAGCCACCGCAGATTTCTAAGACCCCACGCGATCAAGAGCAGTCCTGTGTTGGTGACGTTGCAACATCCTCCGAGATCTAGCACCTCCAGGTTCTTCAGCTGCGCGATCCTGCCCAAGCTGCTGTCCGTGATTTGTTTACACAACGATAGATTCAACCTGGTGATCGTGGACAGTTCGTTGAAGAACGCTTGAGTAAGAGCTACATCGGTGACGTTGTAACAACCGCTTAAATTTAGCGACACCAAATTCGGAATACCTTGAACCACGTCCTTCAGCGACCTCTTCAGTGACAGAACTTGAACTCTTCTAATCCCCCTTCGGACCAAACTCCCGAACAACGCTGGGTTAGAACGTCTCAAATGAAGCTTGGCTTCCACTCCACGCCAAACCGACTTGTGGTACGAAGCTTCCCTCCAAGCGGAACATACCTGGGCAGCTCTCCCCTTGTCGCGGACCTCCAGGTAGCTGAAGATGAGCGCGAGGATCTCCGGGTAGAGCGACGAGACATGGGTGCCAGTGATGGGGGGTGACGGAGGGATGTGTAGATGAGGTTGATGTAGAGGAGCGTACGGATGGTGTCTTGACGGTCGGTGCAGCGGCAACGGTAACTCCGTATAAACAACACGTTCCTCCATCACAAACACATCACCGTGACATAACCTCACACACTCTCCACGACGTCCCGCACTCGACTGACTCAAGCGCCCCTCCTCCGCCTCTAGCGGTCGACGCGACAACTAACTGCTGTCTCGTGATTGGTCCACGCTCCGGTCATGTGACTCTCTACCAACGTATTGATTCGGGCGCGAGTCGGCGGCATTTTTAAATTTTTCGAAGCGTGTTCTCCCCTCCCCGGCCAGCCTGGCCAATAACAACACTTGCCACTATCGATCATGTTGATAACTGCGATAGTGGATCACCACGTGATTTTTTAACATATAAATACCCGTTAGTTTTATTATTATTATTACTTATTATTATTTTATATTTATTAGCTTAGGTTAGCCTACGCATTTTAACGTTGTAAAAATAGCGCAAGAGAAAAAGTAGTTTCTTCTTTCTTCTAACATTTCCGGTAGAACCTGATTAAAATAAAACCAACTGTTCTTTTTTTACTTAGTAAACAATGTGTATTCTTCCTGGGGGTGGAAGTAATTGTATCAGATTTTATTACTTGCTTTTTTAATGCGTGTTGATATAATCCGTTTATTTTTCACGAAATTCATTTGACGTATTTGCAGGGACGTAACTAGGCTATTCAGCACCCGGGGCAAACGCGTATTTGAAGAACACCATTAGCAATATTAGCTTTTCTTGGAAATCCAAACATGCATGTATTTGTTAGTTGAAAAAATCAGTCCATTCTGTTATCAAATAATTTCAGGTACACATTTTCATCTACCCATTTTAATGCGTTTGAGCAAATAGTGACAGCATAGAATAACCGAGTATTTGTAGCAGTTCTGTAATTGAAGATTTCAAACTACTACATATAATATTTGCAAAACAGGTTAGTATTATTGTACAGTATTGCTAAATATCCTGTGTGAATTAAACAGTACAATATCATTGACGCAGCAATATCATTACGCTAACCTTTGCGTAACAATTATGAAGGACTACATATTTTAAGTTTACACTACTAAGATGATTTAAGTATGCGATTTAATTATGCTATGTATACTCAACACAATAAATTAATGCAGTAGTGTTCATGCAAAATTTTATAGTTGAATTTAAATTATATTATTATATTCATACAGGTGTTTCGGTTCTCGTAGGTCTGTTAAACATACTAAATATACTAATGTTTGGAATACTATAGGGATAGATCTACTTCCCACACCAACAAATAATTGATTCATTATGATCTTGGTATATGCTATACTTGTCTAATCGAAGAGGGTATAATTTTATTTCTTAGAAACATCAAAGGTTCGATAGTTTATTCACAATATATTACCATAAAACGTATATAGTGTAGTTTGTATTTTATTCTGTAATATTGTTAGTTCTCCCTTCACCTAGTGTATGAATGTGGCAACGTTTATTACGTTTTTTCTAAGGAATTAAAGATATAGGTAAATATACTTTAAAATGAGTATACTAAATACAGAACTTGTTGCTATTGTATTTCGTACTAAGCTATTAACATTGCAATCAAAATGACTTTATTGTTTTCCCTGTAGCTGCGAATTTTAGTTCATATTCAATTAATGTTATTTAAATAGGAACATTTTATGGGATTATTTTAGGAGGAAACTAGTCATGGAAACGAGGTATTTAGCCTATGAAGTTTTATTTTTCAAAGATTTGGTTTTTAAATTTTTTTCTCTTTTAAACATGGAAATGCAAAATTTTCGTTACCATCACCGTGATTTTGTGTTTTGAAGTGTTGTAATTAAAGATAACGGGGGAAAAATATCTGTACATTTCAATTCCCATGTTATTCTAATCTCTTATGGAGAAAAGGAAAACTGTTGTAGTTTACTTGCTTATGTTGATCAAATTTGGCAAATTTGTGTATTTCAACCTATCCTACTATTAACGGTTGGTAAAAAAAACACATTTTGCCCTTCCCGTAGCAGCAAACCTGAGCACTCGTTAAATCCAATGTTATTTAAATGTGGAATAAATATTATTTCTTATTTATGGTAATAGCGTAGTAAAAGACAATCAGGTTAAAATGCGCTTAGGTTATAATGGTAGCTCCAGCAGGGGTATTTTATTTTGTTGTCCCCAGAGGCCAAAAACACGTTTCGTTCAAATTGTTACGTTTATATACTGTATGTGTGTGTCTGTGTTACGACAACTGGTGTAATTTTGGTGAAATTGTGATGAAATTTTACATAAATGTGTTAAAGTAGGGACAAACTTTATGGATAAACTTGTTTCGGTTCGTGAATTAGCAATTAAGTTCTGGTAATGGGCACGAGGTTTTAATGTAATTTCGGTGTAATTTTACATGTGTTTGATGTAATTTTTAATGTAATTGTAATTTTTATGGGGTTTTGAACTATATACAAAATTTCAGTTTTACCTACACAATTTTTAAAAGCTTTGTTGCAGCCATCGTGTGGAACTACAAAGCAAACAAATAGTCTTGAAGCGTTGTAGTACAATTAACAGTTAAAAAACAAATGTGGCATTTTTAAGAGGTAGTTTACTACAAATTACAATAGACAAATTTAAATTCGCTTAGTCTGCAGGTTTGCTGAGGTATTAATATTTTTGTGGCACTGATGTCATAGTTCAGCCCGATGCTTAAAGGACCAACTTGCACATAAGAATTGGCAGCAAATATCTTTTAAAGGTTTTAGGTATATTTTTGTACAATTTCTTTGTAGCCTAAATAGTATTCCAGCCCGTTGTGTTGGCTGCACTGCCGCGGTCTCGCAACAGCTGTTGTGTTGTAACCTTGATAACGTCACAGCTGATAAACACGTTTCAGATAAGAGCCAAGCCGACAAAGCTCACAATATAACCATGCACGTTCCTAACAAGGTTCACCATTTATGAATAAACAACTAAACTAAATAAACTACTTAACTATAATAAACTAAAATAAGCCTAGTCATGTTATTTGAGGTGCTAATGCATACATTTTCCATCACGATTGAAAAATAACGGGTTCATGATCTGGAAACTGATCCCGTCTCCGTCAAGAAAATACTTGCAATTAATCATACTAATATTATAAATGTGAAAGTGTGTGTGTTTGTTTGTTTGTTTGTTTGAAGTTCAATCACGCATTAACTACTGGTCGGATTGTGTTGAAATTTGGTATGATGATAGCTCACATTCCCGATTAACATATAGACATATTCTTACCTCAAAAATCCTTTCGGGCTCCGCCCCATCGGCTCTAGAGTTTCCAATGTTAACCTTATGAGTATTCATATTTAAAAGGAATTAAATAATTTTGCCTGCTGATTCAACTACACAATTTGTTTCTATTATATTCAATAGCATTAAAAGGTTATACGGTTTACCAACAGGGTGCAGCACCATTAGGTCTTTATACATTTATGTCAACAGCTAATTTGAACCAAGCAGCAACCAAAACCTGAGTGTGAGAACTTTACTTCTTTCTGTTGTTTAGGTGAAGTGGTAGAACATTATGGCTTTGGTAGATGTTCTATATACTATAGTATAACGTAGATTATAGTAAACCAAATTTTCTCAAAACGTGTCCTCTCTCATTGCAAATGCAATTGCAAATCACGAGTATTTAACTACGATAAGCATTGTATACTAACCCCGTACGAAGGACGGGTACTCAGCTAGTACTCTAATACTTTTCACACAGCCTCTCAATACACAAAAGAAGTACTGTACCACAAAGATACCTTTATAGCACTGTAGTCAAAACAAAGACAAAAACAATTGGTAAAAAGTTGTCACTGCATAGTGTATGTTACTCTGTAGATTGCCTGTCAATAGAAATGCCAATATAATACCGTCATAGCAAACTAGTAGAGGTTGAAAATTTCAAATTTCGTCATTGAATTTGTATTTATATTCATTACAGGGAATTTGTATGTAGACTAATTTTGATATAAATGACAGTGATAGTTGAATCTCAAAATCCTAAATTTTAAAATCAATTTTTGATTAATATGTGTGCAAAATTTTGTTTTGACGTCAAACAATTTTAAATTTTAGTTTGTGAGAATATTCAAAAGGAAAAAATACGAGGGCCCCGGATCTATGTTTATCATGACATTGGAATATCAACTTTAAATAAACACACTTAAATGTCTTTTTTACTGCAATCCTTACAATCTAATTAGAACGAAACATAGAACATGTTTAGTAGGTAAAGTAAATCTAAGTGTAAAATAACTTTTATTGTTAATCATGAATTATAAAAAATACAACTAAAACCGTTGCTTATTCTGCAGGGTTTTTGCGACTTGAGTGATTAAAAACATGAACTAAAGTTCGTATTATTAATCAGTGATGTTTAAAAATACGTCAACGTTAGATAGTAACCCGTTCCTGTACAAAAAACGTGGATACAAAAGCCCAACTATACATTAAAATTAGCTAATGGGCAAACAATTAACATTGGCTAACTGATTCGGAGTTATATTTTTCATTAGTTAGACAATTGCATATATCCAGTATCTTATCATCGGCAAAACTATTTAAATGCAACACTATTTCTAATTTGATAATATCAAAATATAAAAAATTAATACATATTTTGGAATTATTTTAACCGCCTAGCAAAACACAATGCAATATTTATACACGAAAGTGTGCACATTGCCAAGGCTACATTGAAGGAGCCGACGAATTGATTTCGTCACAGAATGAACGAAATTGCGAACTGCAGCATAGCCTGCAAACAAAACTACCAAGTTTTAACGCTATAGCATAGATCAAGTGCTATAGTTCGTTTTACTTATGGCTTCGCTGCTTTCATTTCACATTGAAGGAAGCTCTCTTTAACATTAGTTCTCATTAACTTATTGTTTGTTTGCAGTTTCTTGCGATTGATACGGTTTCTATTGTTATAATGATATTAAAGTTAGATTTGCCTGTATATTTTACTGAATAAGACCATAAAATATAAACTTGTAATCAACACTCCTACTTTACATATTTATTTCAATTTTAGTCCTTCTTCCATTTTTCTTTCAATATTTATATAATACACATTTTAGACGTATTTTAATGAAGGCCATTTAATATAAACCTATAATTTAGTGTTTCTTTATTACAGCTTTATATTTAGAATCTAATTTTTTGGCGTTTTAGCACAATTTGA